ATTTATTGAATCTAAATTGAATTGTTAGAAACGGAATTATAGATCAAAGATTTTCTAATTTTAAAAGCTGTGAGTTACAATTTTGCACTTTTACTTCGTCGCTATCTATCGATATTGAAATCGTTGATGAAATTAATTCAAATCCAATGAGATTCTTTGTTGAAGCAAAAATCTATGGAAATTAGAATTCTGGATTTGTATACGTATTTCTGAGAGTAGATCGGTTTCCTAAAATTTATCGTTTGTTGTGCGAAAAATGGCTATGATCGGAAAAACTTGTTTATACGGGCAATTATTTTCTTTAATGAAAAATAGCGCAAATTCAGAATGTGTGATCAAGATTACTTCCCCCCTCCAATCAAAATTTATTATCGTCCATTTTAAAAATTGCATCAGCTCAATATTTTCAATTAAAACTTGTTGACTTGCTTTGTGAAAAATACAATGTTAAATATCTTCTAAAAAATAATGTTAAACTGAATTTCTTATAATAATTTTCATTTTATTTTTATAGAAAATAGAGAATATTTATTGTTTAAATTTAAAAAATAACATGAAATGTAAAACGACTACGTATGTGTAATAAATATACAATACATTGAGCTTTACATTGAATCTAATAAGTGCATAATGCATTTAATAAAAATCGTATTTTATTGCTTCTTTGAAGATTGTAAGCATATGGCCCCCATCTTATAATAAAATAGACCATGTGGCCCGTAATATCATATGCGTTTGACATACCTGGTTTAACGTCTCGTTTTTTATTATTCGCAAGTTAAATATTTCAACTACAGATGGCAGCACACAATACCCTTCGTCGTCATAGCACTTCGTAAGATATTCATAATGCTATTATTTTCCTGTGTAGTATCGGCTGTCTTATGTCTGCAATGTTCTTCTCCACCCCTTTCATAAGTAGAAACACATTTCCCACATGCAACTAATTATAATGAAAAATATTTTTATTGCAATCTCTTAATAAAAGTCTTGAAAATTTTAAACAATTAGATATTTTTTTGTGTCTCACCATACGGCAAGATTGCAAATACTAAAAAGAAAGCTAAATTTTTTCAGCGATATGCAACAGTTAAATTATTTTCTTCGCAGTTTTTTGTAAAAGGTAGCTTAACATGACAGTCAAATTAAATATGAAGTTGGTGTCGCCAAATTATGCATAGTAATACTTCACAGCGTACATCCCGAATGTCTCCTATTTTGATCCGTTTTCCTAGTATTTAATGAAAAGAAATATATGTATTGAGAGATTACATAAAGAAATAGGGAAATAATAAAGGAAAAGAAAGGTATTGTAACCGAAAACTAAGTCACTGAATTGAATTTATATGAATGTTATTTAGTGTCATTTTAGAACTCCTAAATGAAAATTTGGAATTTTGTAAAGTAGTATACATTTTAGAAAGAATTGAAATCATGTAGTTTGATTCAGTTGGGATCTTCTAATTGAATTTCATTGCAAATTAGGATGCTCGAGAAATTATCATATGAAAGTAAAAGTAGTATTTATAAAATGAAACAAAATAATGTTTAATAAAAAAAAAATTCAAGCCTATTCCTACTCTGGTGGTGCCATTTGTTGCAGCTAGTTGTAACTTCGTCAAAAATAACGCAGAATAAATTTAAAATTTAAAAATAAAATTTAATAAATGAATAAATATTTGAAAAAAACTGAATGAACATCAAGTGTCATCCACTACAAGTTCAAAAAAATGTATTTGAAATTGAATTGATGAATAAAAAGTATTTTATTAAAGATTGAAATTTTAACAAGATATATAAATTAATAAATAAATACACATATATAAGGAGAGTGTGAACTAATAGTAGGAATTGGGGGAAAAACCAATTTACAAAGAAAAAGGATTTTTACGCCGAATTTCAAAGTTATATATTTAATTAGCTCAGCAAATATTATTTGTATTGCTTAATTTCTTAATTCTTTTACTTTTTTATACAGATTAATTTTAAAGGATGCATATTTTTAATTTTTTCTCTTACGTCATAACTTTATAATCTGATGAAAATCGATACTAAATAGAACAAGATTATGCGATTGGCATCATTCATACATTTGTATAAGCGAAGTTTTAAATTTTATTATTTTTTAAGGGTTTTAATGTCAGTTACATTTCAACTGCTAAAGGTTTCATTTCTTTATAGCCTTTTTAAGCAATAGATACTTGATAGGAAACAAATGATGTGATAGAACAAATACTATAAAATGTTCAAGAAGTAACAAAAAAGAAAGTTATTGAAGTATTGTTTTATTTAAAAGAATTTGAAATAATTGAATTTTTAATTCCACAAAAAAGTAAAAAATATAAGCGCATTTTGTAGTGAAAATTTCTCTTTTAAATTGTATAATTTATTTCACGATTTTCCTTTAATTATAAATCCTATAAAAATATTTTTAATTAAATATTTTTAAAGTAATAACATTTTAGTTCAATACTTTCATTCTACAGCTGAAGTATGTGATTTTTAATTATTAACACTCGCAAACTAGCAAAAAAAATCATTTGTCATGTAGTTACAAATAAACGGGAAAAGTAATCTTCATTAAAAATTACTGATTTTTGCTCTATGGATTCCTTTAAAGAGAATGTTTTAAGAACCATTGATAAGATTTAAATCCTATATCACTGGTTCTCAAAATTTTATCGTCTTGGCCATTGTTTGGGAAACTAAAATGTGGCATGCTCTCCAGGGTAGGATCGATCATTATATGAATACATACATTTTCCTCTGAATATATTAATACTTTTTCTTCTTTGAGTTTTTAGCAAATTCCTTGAAAATCTTTTATGTATCCCTAAAGGCCGTATCACCGTACACGCATTTGGAGCAATTTTCCTTGAAAGCAACGAATTCCGAACAATTTCCATAGCAACGATTCCAAACAACTTTTTCCCAACAAGCTAAAAAAATTGTTCCAAATAAAAGTTGCTTGAAATTCCAGCCAATGGGGTTCTTCGGCGCCTTATGTTATAAACAAGAAGGTGGTAAAGATAGCACCTTGACTTCATCAAACACATCAGATATGGCATATAATATTTTAATGGTGTATAATATTTTAACGTCGTATAATATTTTAAACAGAATGTCGCTCCATTTCTGTTTACGCCCGTCAACAAAAACACGAGTGAAATAAAAGAAATAATATTGGATGTTCGTTTTCCAAAGCAGAAGAATCGGCGATAGTTTTTCAATGTGGAGATTGAGTGCGGTTGACGTCAGAGCATGTCGTTTGGCTTACGGCAACTCTTTACCCTCAGCTGCGTGAAAAAATTGCCCTAAGCGGTTGCTCCAAATATGCGTGTGTGATAGGGCCTTAAAAATACGCGCCAACACAGCTTGAAAATCAATACGCTATATACACCCAACTCTTTTTTTATACGGTAGATACACTCCTTAGAAAAGCGTGTAAGAAAATGTATGCGACATATAGTAAATTTGTGGATATGTCCCACAACTTGAAAAAATAGTGTACGCTGAAGAAACTCTAAGTATTTTCTCAAAAAAAAGTGCAAGAAAAGAAATAAGGAAATTCATGTAACATATTTATAAAACAAAAGTCATTCATTTATATTTAAAAAGAAATCAAAATTAGTATAGAGTGACAATTTAGCTTAAAAGTACATACAACATATAAAAATTCAAATTGTAAAAGACTAAAAGTACTGGCTATAACAATTATTCATCCAGTAGTGTAACGTACAAACCGCAACCCCCCCACTATTGCAGGAGGGGGCATAATCCTAGGGGGCCAAAACCTGACTAAGCAGGGGGGACTTAACTTCTCTGTTACACTACCGTATTACTTCATAACAAGCGTGCACGTTTATCACGAACTGGGTCAAAAATGCTATCATCAGTAAATGTGTCAGATATGTCTAGCACTACTGTCAACTTTGATATAAAAAAAAGAATATCGTTTGTGCTAGAACAAAAAAAAATCATGTAAAAATTATAGGAATGAATAGTTCTATTTCAAAATCGTGTAAAAGAAAAACTGTATACAAAAAGAGTTGGGTGTAAGTTGAAAAGAAAGGATCAAACTCTTCAAAACAACACATAGAGACTTTATCAATTAAAGGACTTCATAGTAACCTTTGAAGTATACATATATTTTGTCAGTAAATAAGAAATATCAGCTGTGTGTGCTACGCTGTGCTTCGTGAATTTGTTTGAAAGTTCTTGTTTTGTTATTTTACTGCAACAATAAGAAGTAATTGTAATTAATAACAAAATATGTTAAACTCGAGAATTATCTGAAATACTCCTTGCCAAGAACAAGAATACAAATTATTAGCGAATATTTAAATATTAGAAGAAGATTACTTATATATAGCATATATTAAAATTTCATGTTAGAAATATTTTTACAAAAACCACAAAATATTTTCTAATACATGATATTAATTTAAAACTTTCATGCAAAGTAAAAACATGTGATACTGCCATGAGCCAATAAGCTGACTGGCTCATTCAATACCACTTAATCTTGCTTTGCAATGAAAGTGAATAGTAAGTTGCAATGAAAGTGAATAGTAAGTTGCAATGATAGTGAATAGTAAGTTGCAATGAAAGTGAATGTTATACATCAGGGATGTCAAACTCGAGGGCCGCATGTGGCTCACGGCAAACATTTTTGCGCCCCGGTCCATATATTGACGTTTTTTTTAATTCTTACTATTAGTTCGCACTCTCCCTATATATATATATATATATATATATATATATATATATATATATATATATATATATATATATATATATTGTTCAAATTTTCAATCGTTAATATAAAATACTTTCTTTCATCCAATCAAGTTCAAATACATTTTTTAAACTTTTAGTGGATAACATTTGAGGCTAATACAGTTTTTCAAATATTAATTCATTCATTAAATATAATTAATGAATAAATAGCAACAAAAATAAAACCAACACCATTTATAAAAAGGAAAAGCGTTCATTGTGTCCTTGTAACGCAATGGATAGCGCGTTGGACTTCTAATCCAAAGGTCTGGATTCGAATTCCACCTGGGATGAATTCGAATTCCTTCTGAGAATGTGATTTTTTTTATTAAAATAATCAAATTTAATTAATGAATAAATAGTAACATACAAACAAGACATAGTCCAACATCCTACATAGTAAAGAAAATGGAAAATTGCAAGGAAAATCGTTTTCTATTTTGCCACTTAATATTGTTATCCTGCCATATGTATAAACATATTTATATTAATTGCAATTATTTAATAAAAAGTAACTAAAAGTTTTTCTTAGTTTTAACCTAAGTAGGAACTGACTTAAAAAAAATTATATTACTTGTTTTTTTAATTATACTATTTTTGCTATTATTAAACAAAATGGATACATTTATTTTGAATATATTTATTGATTTTTTTAACATTAAAAGCATGTGGGCCCCAAAGTAATATAAAATAAAACTTGCGGGGCCCGTAATATCATTCGAGTTAGACTTGCCTGTTATACATCGTTTCGACTCCACTACATAGTGATGGGAGGCCAGAATTTCCTACCTTATAATTCGCCCCTGATACGGCTTGGAATTTGTATGCGAGTCCCCGGACCGGATGTGGTGAAATTCCTTTTGGTGGGGTGCGTCAAGAAAGTTCCCGCGTTAAAAAAGTTCACTAAACCCATAAATTGTGAAGTGGTGTAACACTGCGCTGGCCTCGGGACCAATCAGAGAAATTTACACTGGACAAGACAAAGAGTCCGCCCTAGGATTTCGGTATAAAATGTCGCCGAATAAAAACGGGACGCCCCCCGATTTTAGACACAGAGAGCCGATCCCAGAGCTGCAGATAATCAAAAAACCCCCGGAGATTCCGGGCATCAACCATATCCATTCCCCAGCTCCCTCCCTATCTCAAGCTAAGTTAATTTTTGATCTTCTTGTAGTAAAGTAAATTTCCATATACTTGCGCTTAAAATAAATTTAATAATGTTTTAAAACTATACGATCAGTGTTTGATTTAGTGTGAGATGAGTGTTTTAATTTTAGAATTAGTTAACTTAACTTATAGACATGATGCGATGTGAAATTAAGAAACTGGGTTCAAAGTTTTAGAAATTAAATAAGTTTAAAATAGCGTCGCATCAATAGCAGGAATAGGTAAATCAAATACGCGCGCGCGGTGTTCTTTATGTAGCACCAAGGAATAAAGTCACGGCATCAATTCAAGACTGTTGAGTGATCATCAAGTAAGTTGCATGTTATAATCGGTGCTTTATCCAATCTATCGGTGAAGAAAATTGTGATCAACATCTGACCGGTATCTGCATCATACTGGAGATTAAAGTTGTCCCTATCGCCTTGCAAATGTGGCCTCATTCAGAGGATTATATCCCAAAGAACTTCCCGTGATTATTTTTTCATAAACAAAAAAGAAACGGACGCACCTTTAAAAAAAACATGTTTACTTTTGGTTAATCAAGCAAATTTTGAAATGTGTAATTGTGGAATTCTCCATCCCTCTAAAACTACCATTTTGCTTGCTTACCTTACCCCTCACTCGAAATATAGCTTTATTGGTGAAAACTAAAAATCGGCAATACAGCCTCTGACAATAAAGTTCGGTGAATAGTCCTGTAACATTAACGTAGATGAAATATTAACGAAAATTAGCTTACTGTCCTTCGAAATAGTCACCTCCCATAACTATACATGCGCTGTAAACTTTGCAAGAAGTTTTCTTTTGAGATGGAGTTCAAAAGCCTCGTTACGTTTCGTTGGATATCAGAAATATCGTCAAATCACTTTCCTTTGGAAACAAGTTTGAGTCGTGGGAATAGGAGGAAGTCTGAAGGATTGAGATCTGGCGAGAATGGTGGATGCTCAATTTTCACCACCTCCTTTTTTTGCCAGGAACTGTTTGGCGATGTTGGCAGTGTGAGGGCGAGTATTGTCGTGAACAAAAAACCATGAACCTTTTTGTGCGTACTGGGATCGTACCCTGCGTAGAAGTTTCATGAAATGGATCAAAATTTCAATGTACTTTGCAGTATTCATTGTCCAGTTATCATGCGCACAGTTAATCGACGATCTTTCGTGATTAATTTACTCACTTTCTCAATGTTTTCATCACTGATGGAGGTCGCCGATCTTTCGCTCCGGGAGTTGTCAGAAACACTTTCCCGGCCTTCTCGAAAACGGGTGAACCACTTGTATATCCACTTCAAGGACAGTGCGTGTTCTTCATAAACATGTACCAACATTGAATCTGTCGGTGTCTTGCCAATCTTAAAACAAAACCTTAAATTGATCTTTTATTCATTTATTTTCCTGTTCTCTGTTAAGAACCAAGCACTAAACAAGCACTTTGTAAAAAAAAACGTCTTGCACGGAACAACGACGCTCATCTTAACAATGGAGAGGGCAGATGGTCAACACCAGCCGCTACACATGTGCAGCGTTTTGTTTCGCCTCTGTTGCCATATCGGCCGTTCTGACTTCATTCACCGAACTTCATTGTCAGAGGTGGTATTATCCTTTTTAAAACGGATCTTCATTTCGATTCAAAATTGATAACGCTTTGCCTTGTTAAGATCATCGAGGTATAGCTATTTCTCTTTGTATGGAGTCACTTGTAGCTTCTTTCTAAAAATTCTACGTTATTCGTATTGATTTAAATTAAATTTGATGTCAAACAGTTCACTATTCTGCACTACAATACTTTGTAAATAGTGGCTTGAGCCCCCGATTCGTTAGAAGAAAAATCAATCACCCGAAACTTGTGACCTACATTAGAATACCACAGCCCAAATTTATTTGAATTTCGGTAGTTAATGGGTTTCATTTAATAGAGTAATAAAAACTATGAGAAGGTTTATTGGTTACTTATTAAACCCTAAGCACTTAGCGTCGTGTACTGACATGTCCTATTGAATTGGTCTTTTAACTTACTGTAATGAGAATTAACCCTTTAAAGGTTAATCCTGAATGTAACCCTTTTAACCCCTAATTTTTATCTTTGATATATTGATGATATTATGCTTCTTTGGGGGGAGGGGTAAAATGAATATAACAATTTATTTAATAACAATGTTTATCTGAATTCTTTAAATGTTATTTTAACAAATAATAACCAACTTGGCTACACATTACCTCGATATAACTTTCCATTTAATGAAACAGTAATATTTTTGATAAAAGGGATACTTTTAATTTTAATATTTTTAAAGTTCCTTTTTGAAATGCTTTACATATCTGTTTATAGGAATGTTAGATATATATGTTTTTAGGACATATCTGTTTATAGGGATATTATTCTCAATTATTTACTGCGTAGCACTTAAGGTATCCGACTGCTTGCGACAACTTTTTTTTTAAAGTAATGGATATATGGAGATTTTTTTGTGGTTTTTAGATTTATTTAATACATTTTAAGAAAAAAAGACTAAAATTAAGAATTGAAAAATAAATTATTACTACTAAAATAAAAAAAATGGGTAAAAATTGACAAAATATTGCATAAACGGGTCCCGCTTTGTACAAATAGTAAATGAACAAATTCTCAATTTTTCGATTTTGATGTATTACTTTGCTATTCCTTTTTGAAGTGACCTTCAGGATAAGAGATATTTTAATTTTTACAAAAACTAGAGCACTTAATCTCAGTTGTTATATGAAATTGCTTTAAAAAAACAGTGATTATATTCACATAAAGAACTTCAAATTTTGTGATAAAACAGTGATTGATAAATCTGAAGGTTAAAACACCTCTATTGTTATACAGAACATACCCAAAACATTTCAGCAAATTATTTTAAAAACTTTTTGAGCAATCGCTGTCCCCTTTTGAATTTTTCGAAAAAAGCATCACTTTTCGAGTAAAACACATTTTAAAGTTTGACATCTTATGTAAAGTTATGGCATCTGCTTTTACTAAAACACCTGTAGTTTTTGTTCTAGTGAATGGAAAATAAAGACCTAGGTATTTTTATGAAGCTGATAAGATGGCCTATAAAATAAAATCATAAAAAAAATTTGTCCATTTTTTTAAAAAAATCATGATTTTAGGGTAGTCGGATACCTTAATAAAAGTGGTGACATCAAAAAACCTATAATGCATTCTTTGGAGCAGAATTAGTCTATCAATTTTCTCTATACATGCAAATGCAAAAAGTTTAATATTTTTGGTATGATACTAGGATTTCTTTCTCTTTTATGTCTTGATTACTCTTTTATGTCTTACGTTATTGATTGGGTTCATGCTTTCCCACGGATGTATCTTGTTTGATATTAATTATTGTACTTTAAAATAGATGGCACTCTAACAGCAAGCTTGTTAAGTATTTTTCGAAATTGGAAAGATTTTTAATTTTAGATTTTGCACATTCTCTTACCAATTTTTTTAAATTTATTTATATGGTTTTTATACTTTCTAAATACTATTTACAGTAGTTTTTAAGTGCTTTTATAAATAATAGTACATCCTTAAAGGCTTTCCGGTAACCGCCATTGTTTATGGTTACTTACCGCGGTCTGGAATACTATTTTTGGTCATTAAAATTACTTTCAACCCTCTAGCTGCATATCCCGCGACTTCCACGGGCAACGTAGATGTAGCAAAATTTTTGCAACCCACAATGTTCGCAGGTATGCATTTTTATCGACTAATTTAGCTATGCAACCCGGGCTGTTCCTGTTTATGGTTTTCATTTATGTTCTTATGCTCATATTTGTATGGTCTAATTCTATATTTTAAAATAAAAACTCTTTTACAAAATTTTTTTGTATATTTTAGCTCTAAAATGTAGATTTAATATGTAGATTTGAAATACGTAATAAAAAAATACGCATTTTTGAACCTACTTTTATACACTGACTACGCAGCGAGAGGGTTAAAATTAATTTTAGCTTTTTTTAAAAAAAAAAAAAACATTTGGTACTTATAAATAAGTAGATTACTATTTAATACTGTAATATTGTAGAATTTTTTATTAAATCTCCACAATTCTTTAGTAAAGAATCTTAACTTCTTTTTTTACGTGTATTATTGTTCTGAAGAAAGATAG